ATTGGTGACTGACTAAATACTTATTTTCCCCACTGTATGCACCTGGGTGCATTTTTTTGGTCCTAGGACTGTTTTTTTAAGAAGTACATACCCAAAGTTGAGTAAAAAAAACTTTAAAAAGTGAATTTTGCATAATAGGTCCCCTTTAAAACTAACTGAATAAAAAGAAAAAAGTCACAATGAAATAAAACTAAACTATAATGAAAAATCCAAAACTATTACAACCTTGTTACAGACTATCAGAAGCAGGGTATCTGCTGCCAACTTTAGCTATCTAGATTCATTCTGTCAGAAACCACTGCACATGGAACCACACAGGTCAAGTTTAGTTAGATTGTTAAATAGAATTATTTATTATTTTTATTCCATCAACCAGCATTAAATACTGACGTGTGTTTGTGCACCCCTGAAGGGGTCCGTAACACAGCTATTAGAGGCTAACCACGCACAAAATGCTAAAGCTAAAGTATGATTTTATCCTCCTGTCAGACAATTGGTTACGATCCAATCACTCCACCTGAGGTGTCAGCCAGCTGGGGGGTGGAGCAGATGTCTCTGGAGCAGCTCTGGCCACAGTGCGACTACATCACTGTTCACACTCCTYTAATGCCCTCCACAGCCGGTGAGCTTCACCGTCCTCACTGAACACCAGCAACAGAAACAAGCTGTCGGCTCCTSTYGTGGAATTYGYCTTTTCATGTGTGCTTTCTCTCAAGGGCTGCTCAACGATGAAACGTTTGCCAAGTGTAAGAAAGGAGTGAAGGTGGTGAACTGCGCCAGAGGGGGCATCATTGATGAAGATGCTCTCCTCAGAGCTTTGGAGTCTGGACAGTGTGGCGGTGCCGGACTTGACGTCTTCGTTGAGGTAAAATCACCAGATGTTTCTCAAATATCTGCASTTTTGCTGTCTCTGAAAAAAAATCTGTTGACAGAGCTGAGTGAGATACACGTCACTGTGTGCTGTTTATATTTGAAACCCATTGTTACACACATAACCATGGTTTGGACACCAAGCAGCACCTACTAAGATGGCGGCACATTTCTCACCTTGTTAGCATAGATCATTCCTGTGTATTTCTGTTTCGATGGTTGCTGTGCTGTTTTCAGCGTGGTTTTGAATCAGAATTAGTAGATTAGTTATACGTGTTTCTGGCTACAGGAACCACCTACGAACCGCAGTCTGGTGGACCATCCAAATGTCATCAGCTGTCCTCACCTGGGAGCCAGTACGAGGGAGGCTCAGGCTCGCTGTGGGGAGGACATAGCCGTGCAGATTGTGGACATGGTGAAGGGCAAGAATCTAGTTGGAGCAGTACGTCCTCATCTATTGTTTTAACTTCTTTTTTTTTAATCACGCACCCTTTTTAACAATCAACTTTATTTATCAATTGTATTAACTGGGTTCTGTTGAATGACCATTTTCTTGTCAATGTTAGTAATTATGTCTGCGTCCTCTTTGTGCAGGTTAATGCTCAGGTTTTAGCCAGCACCTTCTCGCCGGAGTCTCAGTCGCTGATCAAACTCGGGCAGGCTGTTGGAGCCGTGCTTCAGTCCTGCTGTGCTGCTAAGAAATCACTTAGTCATGTTCAAGTCACAACTCAAGGTAAAGAAAGTCTGGTCTGACCTGTTTCTGTAGCTTGTCATATAAATGAGGGGGTTCAAATGCTAGAAGGAAAAAAACATTTGGATGTTATTTTATCGCCCTCTAGTGGTCTGATCATAGAAAACTCTAATGTTATACAGGTCAGATTAAGATTATTCTGGCTTTAAAATGCTTCCTTGCATGATACTGAGGACTGTTTTCTGCAAACCAGGGGAGTGCATGAAGTCCTGCACAGGTTACCTAACCTCAGCTGTACTTGTTGGACTTCTCAGTCGTGAATTCGAAGGTTGCCCGAATCTCATCAACATTCTGAGCCTGGCCAAGGAGACTGGAATCATAGTATGAAACCAATTCGTACAAATACACGACAGCAATTTGTTTGAGGCTTACGTTACAGATAACTTTATTGGAGCTGTTTTTGCAGGTAAATCAAAGCCACTGTGACTCTGCAGCGGAGGGTGTGTGTAAAGTGGAGATCGCTGCAAATGGCTGTAGCTTTAAGGCGAGCGGTTCCGTTCAAGGAGGGGTTCCTGTCCTGCTGGAGCTGAATGGCAGCACGTTCAGACAGCCCATCTCTCTAAGAGGGAATCTGCTCTTTCTCCAGGCCTCTGCGGATCCTCAGCTGCTGTCCTCAGTGGCTGGTAAGGACATAAATATCACTGCAGCCAAATTAATCCTCTGTACCACAAACTGGACTTTAGCCGAGAAGAAGGACAATACAGCCACGTTATTGTGAAGACGTTTGTGTTTGCTGCAGAATAAGTGCTTTAGCCAAACTTTAAAGTGATATTTTCTTCCCCACTGATGTTTATCCACGACTGTTCCTAATTTAGATGAAAGCAGGCATTGAGTTATGAGTTTTGAATTGCAATGTCCCCGCGCTTCTTCTCACCTAAATTCACACTTGTGCTTTCTTCTCGATTGTTCTTTGCTTAGGCGTGTTGACCTCAGAGGGAGTGCAGATTGAGTCTTTCAGCGCTCCTGTGGACCACACCGGGGACGTGTGGTATTGTGTGGGGGTGTCCTCTCCCCTGCGAGATCTCAGTGCCTTGGAGCCTTTGGTTAAGCAAGCAGCACAGCTCGGTATTTAAAGGACGCTAGTCTGTAAAAAAAAAAAAAAAAAAACAGAGCTGAGCATAAAGAGCACCAAGGCTATTTCACATTTGCAAAAAAAAAAAAAAAAAAAAAATCTTAACATTCTAAAAAAAGATTAGATATAAAGAATCTGTCTTTGTGTTTGTGTTGACACCTAAGCTGCTTGGTTTGGGTTGAAAACATGTATTTTTATAACATTCCAATGTTAAGATGTCCAATGAGCTTGAATGAAAATCAAAATAAAATGTTTGTCATGTGCTGTTGAGTTTGAATGGTTTCATTTAAAATAGAAACAAAAGAACACTTTAAAACTCCCATCTCTTTTAGCTGTGATAGATGGAGACTATTGATTAAAACCTAGCTCAAATATTGAGAGAAAAAAGGCAAAAGATTCCCACAGCCTCAATTTCATTCCAAGCGTTTGGAACCACGTGATCACTGAGCCACATGGTTGCATTTTCTGCAGCCAGATTTTGAAAGTCCAGACTAATTTGTGTGTGCACGGCTGCAAAACTGTTTTCTAGATTATGCACTTTAGCTACTGAGGCCCAGGTGGGCAGCTGCTCCTCCTTACACTGAGCTGCTGTACTGTTAACAGGTAAAACTCACACATTTGTCCAGAAGACCCAACATAATGTCCATTGCATTCAGTGCAAAATGAGCTAATCTACAAACGTTAAACTTTAAAAGCATCAACTCAGTCATCAGAGTAAATCATAAAATATTTAAATGTATTCATCGGCTGACTAAAATACTAATAACAATAAAATACGCACAACTGGATGATGTACTCAGTCAAAACCAAAAATGCAGGTGCTGGACTGAGCTGCCTGTCAGGTTCTGTAAAGTCAAATTTTACTCTGTAAGATTAGTAGTTGTGAGAGGAACTGTAAATGAGAGTCTCTCACAGATACGTCCTATGCAGTAAGGACTGTCTTAGGAGGACATCCCAGTTTAAAACCACTTATAATCCAAACAGTAGCACACATGTTCAGATATCACTTCCGCTTTTATTAAAGTTTAGGCTGTGTCCAAAACGGCAGGCCGGGTCCTCCGAAGGCCGAATTCGTCGGCCGCATACGTCACAGCGCCGCGACGAAGGACGTCCAAAACCGAAGACTCCTCCGATGCGGCYGGCAAATACGTCCTTCCTTTGGCCCGAATCGAAGGACAGGTCTGATGGATCCTTCCCGGCCCAGCATATCCCATAATGCATTGCGGCCCGACTGGAGATTTTTTTATGCTAGTAATGGCGGACGAAGCGAGAGAAAAGAATGCGTTTTAAATAAAAATATGGTGATTTAAAAAAAATTAAAAAATTAGCGGTTGTAATTCTAATACTTTTATCATTTGTATGGACATGTTTTTAAATATTTGTGTCATAAAAAAACGCGAAATAAACATGCACCAGCGGGTCAATTGGTTCTTCAAATGATACCTTTAAGTTAATTTTATAGTTTTGTGATATTAATAATGCTAATGTATTGATATTTTTCTAATTTTGATTTAAGTTTGCTTGTTTAGCGTCGTCACAGTTGCTAGGTGACATGACGTACACCGGGGTAAGGAGGAGAGGCTAGACCGTCCAAATTCACAGCCTCTTTTTTTCCAGTCTTCCCGGTCTACCAAGGACCCGGCCCGCCTTGACCGGGTAGTCTGGGTCCTCCGGAGGACCCGGCCTGTCATTTTGGACACAGCCTTAAATGCTGCGGGCAGACGATCATGTAAAGCTTGCTAACTGTTCCACCCTCTGACTGCTGCAGGGGCGTGTCTTAGAGAGAGGCTTTTATACCAGAACACAGCCGCTGTGACGAAACCGTGGAGAAGACACGTCACCGTGGAGAGCCGTTAACCAGTATGCAAATTAGCCTGCAGTACCACCGCTCTACCCATATGAGCAGCAAAAAGACGTTTTTAGACAACATATTACAGATTTTAACAAATACGCACAAAAACATCAAAATTAGCACAGAAACAGTACTATATAACATTTTAGACACTTCAGACAGTTTATCAGCTAAAAAAGTTAATTTTGGGGTAAGTTACTCTTTAAAACGGCTCCATATTCAAAGTTCAAGACAAATTTGATCATCTTTTGGTTTTAATCCYGTGTGAAATTTGCTTAATCCAGGCAAAGTGGAGCACTGTGGAGATTAGGTAAAGCCACATTCAGAATACCATAGCAACGGCATGGGGGGGGGGGGGGGTCCCTGAATGGTTGTTTTGAAGCTCGTTTGCGTCTGATTTGTATTCTCAGTGAGTGAATCCCATGGTCCATGCGCGCGCGTCACCAGACTATATATGGGGGGTTATTTTTAGACAGAGAGAGAGAGGTTGTTTCTGAAGGACCTGGACAGTAGGAGCAATGGCAGGAGAGGAGGAGAAAGAGGGGATGGGAGGGAGGGGGTGGCTGCTGCTCAAATACCAAAATAGGATCGAGCTGCCTGCGACCGTCCTGAGCTAAATCGAGGTTCGTGTTTATTTATTTATTTATTTTAGAGCTGTGGTTGGAGGCGATCGGACGCGTCTGAGCATCGGTTTGTGTTTATGCGCGGTTTATTCATGGCCACAGACGACAGGTAAGTTAAGCCCAGCTTTGGCAGCCCAGTGACCTAGTATTTGATCTTGACACGTGTTTTCTGTTTTCAGACATCATGTCTCAGAAAAACGAGGTCTACACGTATGACTTCTGTGATGAAGCGCATCCAGCTGAGCTCCTCGACGCGCTCAGGCGCTTCTACCTCCGCGGCCTGTTTACAGACGTGACCCTGCGGTGCGCAGACTCCGGACAGGTGTTCCACTGCCACAGGGCGCTGCTGGCAGCCCGCAGCTCCTACTTCAAAGTCATGTTCACGGCCGACATGAGGGAGAGGTCCGACAGCGTGGTCACGCTGAGCGGGGTGGACGGCGGCGTCCTGGGCGCGCTGCTGGACTACGTGTACAGCGCGCAGGTGCGCGTCACCGAGAGCAACGTGCAGAGCCTGCTGGAGGCGGCGGACCTGCTGCAGTTCGCCGCCGTCAAGCGCGCGTGCGAGGAGTTTCTCGTCCGCCACCTGGACGTGGACAACTGCCTGGGCATGCGCGCCTTTGCCGAGCTCCACCTGTGCGCGCGGCTGGAGAGGGAGGCGCGCAGGGTGATGCTGAGCAGGTTCCCGGAGCTCATCGAGCAGGAGGAGTTCCTGGAGGTGGGCCGCGAGGAGGTGAGGTCGGTCCTCGCTGCTCAGAGCCTCACCGTGCAGAGAGATGACGTGCTGGTGGAGGCTGTAGTCAGATGGGTGACCCATGACTTGGATAATCGAGTTCAGCACGTGTCAGACCTGCTGCACTCCTCCCACCTGGGTATGGATGAGCTTTACTTCAGAGCCTCTTTAGAGGTGCACAAACCTTACCTGGTGAAACACGGGCAACTAAAATCTATGATTGTTAAGGCTTTGGGGTCTAATGGCAAAGAGATGCCTCCAAGCAGAAAAATGTCCCCCAGCATGTACATCATTGGAGGATACTACTGGCACCCTCTGTGTGAGGTCCACATCTGGGATCCTGTCAGCAACACCTGGGTGCAGGGCAAGGACATGCCTGACCCTGGAAGAGAGAGCTACAGTGTCAGCTTACTGGGAGCCGACATCTACGTGACGGGTGGCTACAGGACCAACACTGTGGAGGCCCTGGACACGGTTTCAGTTTATAACTGTGACTATGATGAATGGACCGAGGCCTCCCCCATGATCACAGCCAGGTACTATCACTGCTCCGTGGCATTGCATGGCTGCATTTACGCCATCGGGGGCTACAGAGGTGGAGCTCCGGAACAAGAGACTGAGTTTTATGACCCATTGAAAAAGAAATGGTTTCCTGCGGCCAAAACGATCCAAGGTATACTACACAAAAAAAGTTCCTGTAATAAATCAAAAACATGTTTTAAGATTTAAATGTTGACCAAATTTTTTCAGAACACAGTTTGTTTTCTGTGTTGCGTGTCAGAGCTATAAAACTCGACTGCATTCTATACGTAGATGGAGTTTGCTCAGTTGCCTTGGATTTAACTCAATTGCTAAGACAACATCACAGGGAGTCCACACTGTGTCACAAGCCACTCATTACCAAAAGATCTCTGCTGCTGCTGTCTAAAAGCACGTGTCACTGAGGTCACAGAAAGATAACTAAACAAACTCCATCTGTTGATGAAAACTAAGCGAAAACTTAATAGAAACGTGGAAACTTAAAGGTTTTTTTTGTGTGCTTAAGGGTTTTGGTTGCTTTTGTTCRACCCCTTTGGTCCTGTTTCATCACTCTCTTCATTGCCAGCAGCMTATCCAGATACTGAACCAACCTAAACATGTAAAAATCACCTATTACCGGTTGGAAACGACCTCTGTTGATAATTACAATCTTTGCTTYGTTTGAAGGTGTGGGAAATGCCACTGCATGTGTAATGGGAGATAATATCTATGTAAGCGGAGGACATTATGGGTACAGAGGAAGCTGCACTTATGAGAAAATCCAAGTGTACAGGTCAGAYGTCAACGAGTGGAGCATCATTACAGAAAGTCCCCATCCAGGTAAGAAAAACAAAGCAAAACAGTTGCAATAAAAACTTTGAAATCATGTTTAGTGTTGATTYCTGAATTTGAACCCTGTGCTTTCAGAGTACGGGCTTTGCTCTGTGGCTTTAAACAACAAACTGTACCTGGTTGGTGGACAGACGACWGTGGCAGACTGCTACGACCCGGAGGGAGACGAGTGGAGGCCTGTATCCRTGATGAAAGAGAGGAGGATGGAGTGTGGTGCTGTGGTTATAAAYGGCTGTATTTATGTGACAGGGGGATACTCCTATTCGAAAGGGACTTATCTGCAAAGCATTGAAAAATACGACCCGGAGCTGGACTCCTGGGAGATAGTGGGGACTCTGCCCAGCCCGGTCAGGTCACACGGGTGTGTTTGTGTTCGTGTCGTCTAGTGGCAAACATTTATCACAAAGCATTTTGTTTGTTATCAGTTTTTACCAGATCAAATACTCACAGTATTCACTGAACTGTGCCAACAGTTGTGCAGGTTTACATGAATCTGCACCAGGATTTTTTTTTTTTGAAAGATTTTCGCCAAAGCGCTGAAGTTGGTTCAAGAYATATTTAGCTAACAGACAGTGGTAACTCCAACAGAATGCCAAAGTAAAAAAAAAAGAAGTAAATAAATAATTGCGCAGTGTGTGGCACTTAATTTTTTCCAGATTATTCCAGCATCTTCTGCAACTACTGTGGATATTCTAATCATGATCTCATATTTAGTTATTCAGGAATTCCATCTTCATAGTATAAATACAGACAGCTTGATGAAATAAATCTGCTGTCATATAAAGTTTTAAACCAAAATCATATCATCGTCAGAAGTGATGGAGTTTTATCCCTTATGGTCAAATCTTAAAAATATTTTACACAATGGCGTTGTAATGTCATTTCAGTAATTACTTTCTAGGAGAGTTAAATAGCTCAAGTTTTTTTTTGTGAGATATTTTGCTAACGAACACATGCGCATGCACAGACAAACAGCCAAAAACATCAAATTTATTAAGTGAAAACCATTTTTTTCAGTTTCAGAAACCAGCTGTTTTGTGACTTGTAAAAAATACTGACATCTAGTGGACAAATGAAAAACTGCAGCTTGTTAGAATATTAGCAGGCATCCATCCATCAGTTTTTTTGGGGCAGAAATATGTTTAGAATAATTTCATGCATCACATTTGTCACAAATTGGAAAAAAAATAATTAATATACTGATGACTTAAGTAATATGGAAAACATCTGGAAGTTAAGGAGGCTTTAAAACAGCCCAGATGTTTAGAACTGAGGGGATAAAATCAGAAACACTGTCCTGATACAAAAAGCATTTCTGTCAAAATTTACACTTTAATTTCTTACAAAAAATTTTGTTAGAAATGCTTTATGGGTAGAAGTCTTAAATCTGACAAAAATGTGTTTTTTTAACCAATTTACTTTTTCAAAATTGATTTTCAGAAGAAAATTTGGCAACCATTTTTACAAGCTAAATAAACTAAATAATCTAATTAGCCATCATGATATAAAATCAAAAAGTAAAAAAAACCATAACTGAAAATTACAATTTTAATAATTCATTCATGCTGGAAAATACTTGAATCCAAATAAATGAATAAATAAATAAATAAATAAATAAATAAATAAATAACATGTCATGACATTGGTCTAAATAAAAACAAATAAAAGTTTATTATTTATATATTTATTTTTATTTTAACTAAGAGTTCTTACGCTTTTGATAATCAGAGACAATGTTTATCCAAGTTACATGAGGAAGGAGGACATCCTTTCTCATTATTGTGATTCATCTATGTTAGTGATGTTTTCTGTTGAAATATCTTACTTAACTAAACTAATCATGGTTTAAGTTTTATTATAACACATTAATGTTTTATTTGTCTGAATCATGTTGCAAATGTCTTGAGTTGAAATAATTCATTCTTTCGGGACATTAAGATGAACGAGCAACAGGTCAAAATGAAGTGTTTTGTTTATGTTAACAGTTTAGAGATCCACAGTCTTTGTTAGCTCCAGATGGCGATGAGCAGTCTTGAACTAACATTTCTAATCTCCCTGTTTTTATCGAACAAAGGGCGGATATGATGTTCAGTTGGTACTAATGGGCCCAAAGTGTGCCAGGAACATATCCCCCACACCATTGCACCACCACCACCAGCAGCCTCGTGAGATGGTTGTGGGTGAAAATCCCAGTAGATCAGCAGTTTCTGAAATACTCAGATCAGCCTGTCTGGCACCAACAACCATGCCACGTTCAAAGTCACTTAAATCCTTTTTCTTCCACATCCTGATGCTCGGTTTTGAACTGCAGCAGACCGTCTTGGCCATGTCTACCATTGATCTATATTAATTTATAGATCAATGATGTCTACATGCCTAAATGCAATGAGTTGCTGCCATGTGATTGGCTGATTCGACATTTGTATTAATGAGCAGTTGGACAGGTGTACTTAATAAAATGGCCAGTGAGTGTATATATGTATGTATATAATTTATTTCTATATTTTTTACTCATTACTTTTACTTTTAATACTTATTTTGTATCATGAATTTTACTTTTGATACTTAAGAACAGTAAATGTCAGATTTTACTCAAGTGATGTTCTTAGACGAGACTTTAAGTTTGATTTTTTTTTACAGGCAGTTTTATTTTCATGGTAAAACACTTGTACTTTTACTCATCACTTTGATACTGACCAACTGTAAATATTAGTTTAATAAGTTTCACAATGAGAAAGATTTAACCTGGAAACCTGGTTCTTCTGCTGGAATTTCCTTTTCTAATTATGTTATGTTATTTATTTGTTTAAATTTTCTTCATTTTAGTCTTTAAAAACACCCAAATTTGCACATAGCATCTATTTTTTTTGTCAGCCTGATGATATAATTTTAAAATATTAAATTGTATGTTATGATATGTTGCCTTTTATACAAAATATTTTTTCTCGACTGCTTCAGTCATTTCTTGGCTAGTTTATAATTTTATTTGAGTTATACTAAGAAGTCAGCTGAACCGCTGGGTGGCGCTGTTGCTCCATCGAACTCCTGGCGCTGAAGGTGGAGGTGCTGCTGCTGCTGCAGCTGCACCTCCTTCATTGTCGGAGTGAACCAACGGGAGACGCTCCTCGGCTCGGTTCTGCGTAATAATCCCGTCTCCCCGCGGCAGCTCGCTCAGTCGTCCGCCATGGCGACCGCAGGAAGCCCGGTCCTGTCCGCCGAGAGCCGCGTCTGAAACTCAGCAGGGTTTCTTTCATTACCTCTCTGACGCCTGGACGTGGATGTAAAAAGAAAGAAAGAAAGAATCTCCATTCAACACTTTGCTGTGGATAAGTCCGCATTTTACTGGAGCGCAGCAGCAGAGGGGTAAGTCCTCCCACAGCCAGTGCTCTCTTATAAGGGAAGTGATTCAACTTGTTTGATGAGATTAGAGCTAAATCCTGGGAGTATTCCCCTGCCTTGTTGTGTGCGACCCTGTGGATTTGGAAGGAAACTCTCACTGTGAAACCCCTTCCTGCCCTGCAGTCAGTGCGGGTTGCATTGCACGAATATTCCGCAGCGTTTCGGTGGTGCTGGGTTCAGGATTTTGTGGATCTCGATGGAATTTAAATGATCTGAAACTCCGCCGGAAGTGAGYGTTTGTGTCCAGAGCGTGTCCAGGTGAGTCCAGGCACTTTATTAGTGTCCCATCCAAGAGTAGCTGGTCGTGGGGATTACAGCAGCCTGCTCTGTTAACCCACATTACATTCAAGACCTGTGAGGTCAGTCAGGAAAGAGGATTTCTCCTTCTCTCTCCCTCTCTCTCTGCACTCATGTCTTTCAGGCTTTTTATTTTATTTTATTGTTATTATTTGTGGCAGAAAAGACTACATCGTGCGCACATGCAGGCTGGTATTTCTTTCACTTCATAAACACACATCACTGCCAGTAATCTCAACTCCAGCAGTGCAACCACACCCTGCCAAAGGTATCTGTTGCTGAACACAGAGGACACTGAGCTGTGTTGTTGTTGTTGTTGTTTTCCTTTCCCTTTCTCAGGTACTCAGCTGCCTGGGGTGGTTCAGCTGTCACTAAAGGGTTTCCAGCTGTTCAGAGTGGTGGACTTCACCAGAGGGGGGCCCCTGCACACAGAGGAGCCACTGTTGGAGAAGCTCGTGCCAGCAGTCCCATAAACCCCACGTTACACATATGTGGGGAATTTGTAGTTCAAAGGCTGGGGTGGGTTTATCCAGGAACACACTCAGTAGTCTGTAAACGTCCCCCTAGTATCTTACGCTTTGGAGGTCTGCACAGCTGCTGGACGATTCTCTTGGTTTGTTTAGGAGCTGAGCTGCACACCACGCTCMTGGCTGCTTGATTCATGAGACTTGGTGCAGGGTGGTGAGAGGGGTGGGGGGCGTGTTGGCTGAAATAATCACGGTCTACTCTTACACTGGCCTCTGTTTCACTGCTGCTCTGTTTGAACAGTGTCCGGTTACATGCCATGCATGTGCAGGTCGCTGTCACACTCGACTCCAGACAGTTGCCAGAAGTCAGGAACAATAGCCGCTGTGGAGATGATGGTGTGAGGATCACATGTCATAAAACACTTAACCGTTACTAATTTTCTTTCTTTTTTTTAAAATAACAAACCCATTGTCAGCATTTTGTCTTGAGAAGGAATTGAGAATTCAGCTGTAATCTAGCGTGGAAATACCAAATGTTTGCCAGGGTTCATGCCGGGTCTTAAAAAGTCTAAAAGTCTCAATTTTGAAAATCAAAAATAAATAAATTGTATAGGTCTTCTGGACRGGTTCTTCTCTAATGAAACGTTTCGTCTCTCCTCCAAGAGACTTCTTCAGTCTGAGAGTTTCAAGCAAAATTCAGGCTTTTGAGTCCTGCCTCCAGGTGACTGATACTCACATCACATGGCTATCGTTGACACCTAATTAACACCTATTGTTAACATGGGGTGGAGTGATACTGGCAATGGCGGCGCTGTAGGAGGGGGACAACTGAAAACGGAGGCCTCCACCTCAGTTTAATGATGGACGGTCTTTCTTCACAAAAATGGCTTCTTTTACTCCTCTCTCAAACCAACGTTCCTCTCTATCAAGAATGAGAACATCCTCATCTCTGAAAGAGTGACCGCTGGCCTGTAAATGAGTGAAAACTGCAGAGTTCTGGCCATTAGATGTAGCTCGTCTGTGTTGGGACATTSTTTTGAACAGTGGYTGCTTTGTTTCCCCRATGTATAACTGGTCACAGTCCTCCTGGCACTTAACAGCATATACAACATTGCTCTGTTTGTGCCGGGGCACCGGATCTTTGGGGTGAACCAGCCTTTGCCGTAATGTGTTTTGGGGTTTGAAAGCCACTGGGACATCATGTTTAGAAAATAAACGTCTCAGTTTCTCCGAAACACCCGCAAATTTTTTTCTTTTTGATTTTTTTACCTGGATTACTGAGATGCATCAGGAAATTTTGAAAATCAAAAATTTAGGCCAAAAAAAGTCTTAAAACGTCCAGATTTTCATCCAAGGTCTTAAATTAGATTTTGTCAAGTCTTAAATTTTTTTTTACGTTCRATCATTCCTGAGAAGCGTTGGCTACATAAATAAACAGAGAAAAGCACTGTAATCAGAGGCTGATGTGATCTGTCTTCATGAAGTGCTAAGTTTTCTACCCATCTTGGTACGTGGTTAAACTACAAATCCTGTGATAACTGCATGCAAAAAAATGGCACAGTTTACTTCCATGTCTTCGACCTCTTTGCCGCTACAACCCTCCCACCGCATACGGCTGCTTGTTCACCTGCAAAAAACAAAGAAGTTCAGTCATGTCCACTGCTTCTTGTTTAAACATGGGAAAGTGTTTTCAGTGAGACTTGGCTTGATATGGGTGATTTTTGCACTCGGCTTGAAGCAGTCCACAGTATGACCGTTACTTTGAAATAATTTAGTGTTCTTTTATTAAAATTAAATATTCTGTAATAGATAAATTAATATCAATCAAAGGTTTCAATGTTAAAATTTCTGGGACCATTTGAATGTTTATGTTAATGCGTCAGTTTGGTCTTAAATGTCATTCCTAATGGTCTTAAAAGGTCTGAAACCTGCATGAACCCTGGTTTGCACAAGTGGATCTATGATTATTAAAAACAAACAGGTGTTAATATGATACAATGTGTTTGTAAATTAACTGGTGCAGTTATATGCAAGTAAAACCAAGGCGTCAGAAGTGTCTATTTTTGGTTGTTATTGTTCTATAAAAAAAAGAAYTTTACTTTCTTCTCACGACTGCAGTTCGACTGGAAACTTTTTCTCAGTCTAAAGGAAAAAAAATTGTATAGGTCTTCTGGACGGGTTCTTCTTTAATGAAACGTTTCGTCTCTCTTCCAAGAGACTTCTTYAGTCTGAGAGTTTCAAGCAAAATTCAGGCTTTTGAGTCCTGCCTCCAGGTGACTGATACTCACATCACATGGCTATCGTTCACACCTAATTAACACCTATTGTTAACAGGGGGTGGAGTGATACTGCCAATGGCAGCGCTGTAGGAGGGGGACAACTGAAAACGGAGGCCTCCACCTCTGTTTAATGATGGACGGTCTTTCTTCACAAAAAATGGCTTCTTTTACTCCTCTCTCAAACCAACGTTCCTCTCTGTCAAGAATGAGAACATCCTCATCTCTGAAAGAGTGACCGCTGGCCTGTAAATGAGTGAAAACTGCAGAGTTCTGGCCATTAGAATTAGCTYGTCTGTGTTGGGACATTCTTTTGAACAGTGGTTGCTTTGTTTCCCCGATGTATAACTGGTCACAGTCCTCCTGGCACTTAACAGCATATACAATRTTGCTCTGTTTGTGCCGGGGYACCGGATCTTTGGGGTGAACCAGCCTTTGCCRTAATGTKTTTTGGGGTTTGAAAGCCACTGGGACATCATGTTTAGAAAATAAAYGTCTCAGTTTCTCCGAAACACCCGCAACATATGGAATAACCACTGGTTTGGGTCTGGGTTTGGGGTCTTCATTTTCACCTGAAGGTTGCATGAAATCCTGTCTGTGTTTCCTGTCTGCTTTCAGGAAAGCCCAGTCAGGATAACCACACTGCTCCAGGGCCTGTCGTGTGTGTGATTTCTCTTTCTGCCTGGCTCCTGGGTTTGTAGGGACACTGTCTGCTCTGTGGTACAGAGTCCTGATCATTCCTAACTTGTGTTCCAGTGGGTGGTGGGAGTCAAAACGCAAATATTGGTCTGTGTGGTTGGGCTTACGATATAGGCCAGTTTCCAACCGTCCTCCATCCGAAAGTTTCATTAAAGAAAAACCCGTCCAGAGGACCTATACATTTTTTTTTCCTTTTGATTTTTTACCTGGATTACTGAGGTGCATCAGGACATTTTTCTCAGTCTGTTTTCAGTATCAGGCGGAGCAAAGTTGGACATTACTCTTGGTCTGTTCTTTCCCACACACTCTACATGATTACATTATCCGCTGGTCTGAAATGGCTGACTCAGCGCTCGGCTCAAACCTGGCGGCAGTCACTCACCTCTGCGGCGGCGGCTGAACGACTGCCCGCCGCTTTGAACCGCTCGTCGAGGTCTGAGGCTGACATCAGGGAGCAGGAATGCATGATGGGACGGATACTTGTGGGCCTTGAGGGGATCTGGCTGTGCGCAGACAGTTTTATACCAATACTGGCCGGCTCATATGTCTCCCCTGAAGAAATGAGCGGTCTGACTTTGTCAAAACACAGTCATCTGAGCAGGGAGGCGTGTTCAGAATTATTCAGTGATGGTGTTTGTTTTCTTCAAACGTGATAGAAGCASAAGGGTAGGCTGGTTTTTCACCAACCTGCTGGTCTTTTAGAAAAAACTGGTTGCAAACTGCAAAGATTAAAAAAGATTTCTTCAGGTTATTTTTTTAAGTCTTGTGTTGAGGGATGTTTCCTCTGACCGACTGCAGTTCAAAGCACCGATTTTATGTGATTTTTTTTCTTTTGCTCCTCCTGTAGAGTTCTTCCCAACAGAAATCATTAACTATGCTGTAATTTGTCCAGATTATTTAACCGCACAATAAATAACTGAACATAGAATAGCTGGAAAACGTCATTCTCATAAAATGCATCAAAACTAATTWTAAACAAACAAAACAAAGCTAACTGAGCAATGTAGTTTTGACTCATCTAACTGTTCACCAGCTGTTAATTTTACAATAATCGTATCTGTGTTGTAAATTTAACTTGGGATAAAAATGTTCCTAAAGTTAAATAACTTAAGTTTCACTAACCCCAAAAGAGCCCCTTAAACACTGGTTTGAGTGTTCTGTAAAGTACATATGTCAAATTTAAGGTTCACAGGCCGCATGTGGCCCATCATGGCCTTTTATGTGGCCTGCGAGAATTTCAGAGATCATGTAATAATGTTCTAAAATAATGCATGTCGATTATTTTACTTGCAAAATGACGGCATCCCACCGCTAAGTGGTGCACAGGATTCAAAAGGAACCGGCAGCCTGTAAAATTTGCTGTGTCTAGGGGTRCACCGATTCTAGTTTTCTTGCTGATCTCCAATCTTTAAATAGTCTGACCTGCTGATTCTAATTTTGGCTGGTACCGTTTTTAAATAGCTGTCAGATGTTATAATCAATCTTCAATGTTCAAATGTTATTTTACTGAAATACTTTGAACAATATCCTTGAAACAATACAAACTTGTTTTAACTAGATATTAGGTAGTGCTCACAGCAGAGCAAAAGAGGATGGTGGCTGAGTTTCAGACCTTTTGTGGAGGTAGAAAAGCTGATCTTCTCCAACAATCTTATCTAAGTATCGGCTGATCTCAGATCTCCCAAACAGAARAAAATCGGCGCTGAAAAATCCTCTAGTAAAACCTCCATTTAACTGCAGTTTCACCAGCTGCTTTYACTGCCGCCCAGTTGTACTGAGAAGTGGAAATTTCCCACTTACAAGTTGTAAACGCCCCCTCCAGTGGAAATTCTTTGTCGGAAAGTGGGGGAGATCAGAATTCAAGATGGTGACTACTTACCAATACTCAGCAGTGAGTGAAACCATCAAAATGTTAATTGATTTTTAAAGGTTTGTTGTTGGTTTTGAAAGAACGTCAATGTCCTAACTTTTAAAAGTGTTTTGTCATAACCTTAACATTGCTATTGTTTTAACGTTACACACTTATTTACACTGATTTTTATGATTATTTGCATGTGCGACTAATGGCAGCAGCAGCTAGCTGTTTCACTTTTGGTTTAGYCTTACAGCAGGAAAGTTGTAATATTTTTTTAAATATAAGCTTAATGCAAAATCGACAGCAATCTGAAGGTTTATAAAACAATGTTCACACAAACTGCTGTGAAGTTGTTGGCGTTGCACAGACTAGCCATTAGATTAGTTCAGTCAAAATGTAACAGTTTTTTCCAATTTGATGTCATTCATAGCACTATCTACAAYGGGTAAGATATTATTTGTTAGCTTTCCACATGACCCCACTATTCCAGATCTGTCCTCCTTTTACAGTTTAAGTTTATCTTCTCTTCAGTCTACTTTCATTCAGCTCAAACCTCCAGCAGTAACTTTAAATRTTTTGATTAAGTCTCGAGTGTACCATTGTGTCTCTGTGCCTTTTGGCCTCGCCTCACTTTAATGATTTTCCGAGTCAGCTGACGGTGAACTAGAGTAACTCTTTGATTTTACACTAAAGTCTTGTGATTTATATGTCAAAATAAATTAAGCCTGATCTGTGCTTTGAAATCAAGAACATGCTACGACTTTTTTTTGTTCCCTCGGTAATTGAGTCTCCCACTGGCAACAATTATCAGCCATTAGTGCTGAGTGCAAGTACAGCTTCGCAATTACTCTGCTGGTGTAATCAGGACGGTGGTGCAGCGTGTTTTCTGGACAATAACATTGTCTTTGTGCTATTTTAAACCCATTCCGCTAATTTAGTGAATGACAGCGGGTTTAATTACTGGGATTATTTTTTACAACTTTTGAACACAATTCTTCTTCTTCCTCCCTCCTTTTGTGTCTTGAATTCAGCGCGRGCTCGGCAGTGAACGGTGCAGCGAACCATGGCAGAGCCAGACCAAGAGCCAACGTCCTCCGGAGCGGGCCAGCGGCTCGGAGCCCCGGAGACCCTTGGCATCAGCACGTTGGACCCCACGCACCGGCCTCCAGCCATGCCGTCCGGACGGCACGTCACCGTAAGGGTCCGCATGCTGGACGACACCGAGGAGCTTTTTGACGTCTCGGTGAGTCGCCGTCTCGCCTATTTCGGTCACRTTTCTCGACAACTCGACTTTTCATTGCTGCAGTGTAGCCGAGCAGCTTTTTCCGTTCCCATCAGGGCTGCTGGAGACGAGTAGCGGGTTGGCATGGCAACTGAAGGTTGCATGCACGGATGAAATTGAAGGAATCCTTTTAGAGTAATGTCAGTGTGGCTCTACTTTATTATGCTGCCTGCTCTCTGCTTTCTAATCTTTCATACTGTCCTAAATTTGCTTTGCTGCAGTAGATTTTTATCCCACCTGACAACCTGTGGGAACCTTTGAGCATCCTAACGATTTACTGAACCTTCAGGTGTGTAAACCAGCATGAGTGGAAACCTCCAGTGTTTTCTTTAGAGAATAGAGAGAGAAACGACAGCAGCACAAAAGAAACACATTTTGTTTTTTCTCTTTTAAMGTCATTTGAATTCTATTCAAGGTTTCAGCTTTAAAAGATAACCCATAGAAATTTAAATCTGTCATCTTAAATTAGCAGCATGGATTAATGAGAGTCGAGCCAAAATTTGGAACTGACTGTGAATGAGCACTTTTGAGTTAAAAACAACTTGAATCACTGGTAAAACCAACAATTAGCATCTTATTACTGCAGCTTTAATTTGATGCACRTCTGTATTGTAGTTTGTTATAAATCACTTACAGTCTCCTGTCTCTCTAAATCTTGAGATTAGCAAAATAATCCACAGCTGAGAATAGATCCTTACAAATCTTTTCTTTTTGTTCAGCCTGGGTAACATTTTCTAAAAACTACAGAACTCTGCTGGTACAAAGTAATGCACAGAAATGTGACAATTTTTWAAAATTTCTTCTCAGGCTGACGGTTTTTCCAGTAGTAGGAAGGTAGTTGTGTGTCTTTGGCTGTTTGCTGAGACAGTAGGGCTAGATGCAACCACAGCACGGTGCTTTTCTTTGTTCCTGCTGGCTAATCTTTTCACTGTTGTTCTTAATACTTTAGGCTTAGTAGATTCTCACAGAGAAATCCCTTTTTAAAGGCTCTCATTTAAATGACGTAATTCTTTGTGTGCTTTGGGTCAGGTAAGACATCAAAGCCAAACATGGTTTTGGTTTCGGAGTCCGACTCTTTGACTGGCATGTTTGTAACCCTCCTGCTGCCCTTGGATCAAAATAAGCAAGAGGTTCTATCTAACCCTTCTTGATGAAATCTCTGTAAAGGTGGAATCATGCTTAGTTTTTAGTAGGGTTCGGCATAATCGTATTGTGTACAATTAATCRTCAGGAAAAACAATTGATTTTTTTTGACACTTGACGATTAATACGATTAATGCCACCAGGCAGAGTCCGCTCTGTGCTCCTCTCCGCTTCAAATATGACGAACATTTTAAAAAAAAGTTCTGTAATTTATTTATCTATCAACACAATTTAAAAATTTGATGTGTAGCCTGAAGTTTGTAATTTTCACACAATTTGGAACAAATTTCTACAAAGAGCAAATCTTTCTCACTAAATTGTTCATGTGACCAGGACATAAGGGTGTCCAGGGACTCCAGGGGATTAATCGTCAAATTAATCGTTATCGGCTAAACACCACAATTAATCGTGATTAATTTTTTTTGCCAATATTGCCCAACCCTAGATTTTAGGCAAACAGTAAACATTATGACACTGAATTTTCCACACAAAACCGGTGTAATTATACAACTTTTTTTGTATATTGTTTTCACAGTCCTAACAGTCCTATTAAATATACCTGCAAACTTTGAAGTGACTTAGCCTTCTCAATTAGCCTGGTTAAAACCAGACCCCTGTCCTTCACTTTGCTTTGGACGGAGGGTCTGGACTCGCTGCTATAGAGAAGCGATTCTTGCTGGAGGCGTGGCCTCTGTTGAAGTGTGTGTTTGTATACAGCGGGTAAAATAAGTATTGAACACGTCACCATTTTTCTCAGTAAATATATTGCTAGAGGTGCTAATGACATGAAATTTTCACCAGATGTCGGTAACAACCCAAGTGATCCATACATACAAAGAAATCAAACCATAAATGCCCAGAAATAAAGTTATTTGTAATA